AACTAAGAGAAAGCTAAAGAGAGGGTAGATAGATGAAAGAGCGATAGATCAAGACAGACAGACAGACAGACAGATGCTCTTTGAGGAAAGATAGATGTTTACTGAGTTTTTAGATTTGTTGTTTTGTGGTTCATACATTCAGTCACTCCTGACTTTTCATGACCTCATGGACCAGCCAACCCCAGAGCTCCCTATCGGCCGTCATTTCAAACAATAGAGTTCTTTGAGAAGACCTAATTCCACATTTCCTTGTCTTTGGTGTATGGTATGGTGTTTTGAGACTTTTCTTCAGACACATCAACCAACCCTTAATAATAATAATAATCATCATCATCATCACCATCATCATCATCACCATCATCATCTTTATTTATACCCCGTCACCATCTCCCCTGTGGGGACTCGGGGCGGCTTACATGAGGCCAAGCCTAACACAAACAACAGTATGATAAATTACATAAAACATAAAATACAAGAACACAGCAAACAAAATAAAATTACAATAAAATTATTCATAACAGAACAGTGAGTGGGCTGCATGTACAGAATAAAATACTAAGGCTAAAAACACAGCTAAAAACACAGGGTGAGACAACAATGGAGCAGATTATTTGTGGGGGAGAAACTCTTCCGGAATGGAAATGAAAGGAGCCTTCGTACAGAAGGGGAGGGGATATGAACTAAAGACAGATGTTGAGGAATAACAGCAATATGGGATGATATGATTAATCTCCAAAAGCGCAGCGGAAGAGCCAGGTTTTGAGATTCTTCTTAAAACTTTCTAAAGTAGGGGCTCGTCTAATCTCACAGGGCAATGTATTCCATAGTCAGGGAGCCACTGAGGAAAAGGCTCTCTCCCTTGTTCCCTAGCAGAGAAACAAAACATACATAATATAGGATAGAATCTAACCAAGATTAAGAAAGATGCAAGGGACATGTATTGCATTTTTCTATTACATTCTCTCCTATTCCCACAACTGTATACCGTAGATATGATTTTTAGCCTGAGGCTTTAATATAAGATGTGAGTTTATTATATCCATGAAAGTTCATGCTAAAATAAAAAGCTGTTTGAATAGTACTGTTACATTCAATTTTCTCTCTTCCTCATTTTAAGGATGTCATTAACATCTATGCATATTGCCTCATGTACAAACTTTCCTAAACCTGTATTGATAAATACTGTTACATTTAACTATTATCTCTTTAATATTTTCTAGCAATGGAAAATACATTACTTGGTCTTGCATTTCCCAACAGAAACATCCATTTTGCACTTTCCAAGACTGGTAATGAAATGGAGCACACTGGAAATCCACACGTATCTGACTTTTCCAATACCTTTTGGAGTTTTGAAAAGCCCACAAATTCACATATACATTTGAAAATGCATTCAAATTGCTTTAGTTAAAGGAACAAATACACACAAAAATGTGTACATTAGAAAAATGCATGTCCATAGAATCTGAAAAAGACACACAAGATTAATTTCTCATGGGAAAGAAAGAAAGTCTCATATACTACTAGTGAGCTTGCTTTGGGTTGTCTCTTGTCATACAGTATATTTGATATCTATTATAATTCAGAGCTGTGAGTTAGGCAGGCTACTATTGTTTTCAGTATTACCACCTAGATCAAATATGGCTATGAATCCATTTTAATGTAATTCAGAGGAAGAATTATGTGCACAGGATAGAGCACTAGCCAATCTATGTGAGCATCATGCTATCAGATAACTACATCAAGCTGGGATGAACCAACTGTGGGTTTATTGGATTTGCTTATTGTACTCCTAAAGTCCACTGAACAGGGCCTGGTACAGAATAATGACTGTTGGTAGAGGAAAACGTAGCCCAATACAAAATGATGTATTGGAATTACATGAAATTACTATTTGGTTAGTTCACATGCTTACATATGAATGCACCAAAGAGAGGGGAGCAAGAGATATTGTTTTGATATTGTTATTTTTTATTGCTTATTGTGTATTTTCTGTTTTTGAGTTTATTTTAACTGTTTTGTCTTGATTGTTGTTATTGCTTTTGTTTATTGATGTGCTGTAGGCTTGGCCTCATGTAAGCCGCACTGAGTCCCTTGGGGAGATGGTAGCGGGGTACAAATAAATTATTATTATTATTATTATTATTATTATTATTATTATTATTAGGAACTAATTGGAGGGTTCATGCACTTAGACCCATTATGCAATTTTGAGCAAGGTAGGAGGGTAGAGGGACATTACAATACCTCTGACTTCTTGGTGCTTAACTAAACAGCAGAGCTGGGTGGCTTGGGGTCCTTTACTATTACACAATCATAGCACTATGATCCCACTTTAATTGCCATGGCAACATTCTATGGAATCCTGAATTTGCAACTGGGAGGATGGGATACTTTAACCTCCTCTTTCTAGAGAGTTCTCCTCTTGTCCCTCTGACCAAATGACAAATCCCACAATTCCATAGGATGCAGCCATAGTAGGACTGAAGACTGACAGGTACGCGGTTCGAATTCAGGGAGAGCATGGATGAGCTCCTTCCGTCAGCTCCAGCTCCCTATGCAGGGACCTGAAAGAAGCCTCCCACAAGGATGGTAAAATCAAAACATCCAGGCAGCCCCTGGGCAACATCCTTGCAGACAGCCAATTCTCTCACACCAGAAGCAACTTGCAGTTTCTCAAGTCGTTCCTGACATGAAAAAAAATTCATGCTATAACTGTGTAGAGTGAAAGCTCCCTTGGAAGTAAAAACAAAAGAAAAAAAAACCTTCCCCATTAGATGACACTGAGCCTTCTGGAAGCTCTAGCAACAGTGTAAATTCTGTGAAAACTTATTTTAGTCTGTGTCAAGTTAAGGCTTGAAGGAGCTGTTCAACTGCTGCAGTTACTGGGCACATTTCAACAATTCACAGCTATCAAAAAGAAGGTCCCTACTGCCACCCAGCTCTGAGTTGCGATATTGCCTTGTTAGGTTGATATTCTCAGATTCTGGGCTGATTTACCTTTCTGTCCATTTCATAATCAGCTGGCTCAGAAATCTCCCAAACTTTGCTCTGTGAACCCATAAAGGCCTGACCTCTCATATCCATTATTTATTTATTTATTTATTATCCATGTCTGGCTCTGAAATATTAGAGAATGAGATGTAGCTGGACTGGGTGGCAATTGACAGGATCGCTTAGTACAGTAGATGCTGCAAGGTATCATTGCCTTGGTTGTTCTGCCTGAGGTCTCTTCTACATTGCCATATAAAATCCAGATTATCTGCTTTGAACTGGATTATATGGCAGTGTAGACTCATATAATTCAGTTCAAAGCAGATAATGTGGGTTATCTGCTTTGATAATATGGATTATATGGCAGTGTAGAAGGATCTTGAGTCCTCAGAAGACAAGAGTATGCAAGTCCCTCTGCTCTCTAAGCTAAATTGGCATGATGAGGATACTGCCTCATCACCAGATCTGAAGTAAGATTCAGCTGCTAATCCAGTTGAAGGAAGATTTTTTTTTCAAAAAAAAAAAATCTTCATGTGTTCTTTTGCCCTAGGCAGCAAAATGTCATGAGTCAGTCCTGGCAACTACACTATGTCACTGCTTCTTAAAAGGTGGGTCCAACTCCAAATCCTTAGCTCAATGATGAGTTCTCAAAAAATTAGCAACAGTAAAAGTTCTCTGAATGCCACCTAGACATTTACATGACTCTGTTAGCAGTAATGTATGGTGTTTATGGTGGACTCTACAGAAAATGCTTCAGTTGTACTTCATAAAAAGAAAAACCAGCCTGTTGAGCAAGCCTTGCAAATACTGATTTATTATCAGTAAATCAGCTTGGAGAAGATAATGATGCTGGGGAAATGGAAGAAAAAAGGAAGAGGGGCCGACCAAGTTAAAGATGAATGGATGGTGTCCTTAAAGTGATTGGCTTGATCTTGAAGGAGCTGGGGGTGGCCACAGCTGACAAGGAGCTCTGGCATGGGCTGGTCCATGAGGTCACAAAGAGTCGGAAGTGACTGAACGACTAAACAACAGCAATCAGTAAATTATGGTTTTTATACCAATTTTATATATACATCCAGCATTACGTAAAAATATCTTGGGGAGAAAGCATGTAAAAAGTTTAAGAAGCCCTGCTCTGCGCAGTCTCTTTCTACTAGTCTTGCTTATCTATTGGTGAGTAGGATAAAATGCTTGAATGTGACCAATCTTGAGTCCCCTGTGGGGTAGAGAATGGTGGGAAACAAACAGGCACCACTATCTGGACCACGGAGACTGCGTTGAAGGTCCTTCCCACATAGGCATATAACCCAGAATATCAAGGCAAAAAAAAAAAAAATCCCACAATATCTGCTTTGAACTGAGTTATCTGAGTCCACACTGCCATATATTCCAGTTCAAAGCAGAAAATGTCGCATTTTATTCAGATGTGTGGAAAGGGCCATACTTTCCTGTCATACAGATTCTGACAAAAGTCTGCCACACACACAAAAAGGTGACCTATTTGATGTTGGGGGCATGCTAGTCATTTCTGACTTTTGGTGACCCTATTAACATTTAAAATATTAAAATTTTCTTTGCACGATTTGTTCAGAGAGGTTGGCCTTTGTCTTCATGCATGAGCAATTGCAAAGAGATTCAACTTTAGGCTTTTAGGAGCTACATATCCTAATCATAACTCCAGTTTGGAGTCCACACAGCAAAAAGGGAGGAAGATATGGAGCAAATTTTCCAATTTATTTTAAAGTTTCCTATGGAATTTCACCAGACCACCTTCAAAAACCGAGATTATGGTGACGGTTGTCGGGGCATCCTGTTGATATTCAAGAAAAAAGAAAGAGGGGATTTGGAAAAGAAAATCCTTTGTTTTCGGATCTCACTCAGCGAGAAATGCAAATGACGTCGGTTCTTATTGGCTGGATCTCTTTCGCGTTGCGCGCGCCCTCTTCGTTCCGAAACCGGAGAGGAGGCGTGGCCAAAGGTCTGGTCCGAAAAAAGGAGGGAGGGAGGGAGGGAGGCTCAAAGAGAGGGAATCCCGGCCCAAGAGATTTGGCCGCCTGAGGACGAGGGTGAGTAAGGGGCACCCGGGCGCCCTCTCTCCCTCCGTCCCTGTTGGAGGCTTGGTTTGGGAAGGGAGGGAAGAGGTGCTGTAACAATGCCTAGTCTTTGACTTGATGGGTGAGTGCCTGGGCGGAAGTGAGGGGGGAATGGCTGGGGGCAGGCCTTGCATCTTCTGCTTTTGGTGTGTGTGGCTCTCAGGCCCCATCTGACTATACTGCCATATGATGCAGCTTGGAACTACATGATAGCGTGAGTGTAGATTCATTGCACTGAACTGCGTAATCTAAGTTTACACTGACCATGGACCTCATCACACTAGTGCAGTGGTTCTCAACCTGTGGGTCCCCAAATGTTTTGGCCTTCAACTCCCAGAAATCCTAACAGCTGGTAAACTGGCTGGGATTTCTGGAAGTTATAGGCCAAAACATCTGGGGACCCACAGGTTGAGAACCACTGCACTAGAGAATTGAAGTTGAACCCAGACAAGACAGAGGTCCTCCAGGTCAGTCGAAAGGCCAAACAGGGCATAGGGTTACAGCCTGTGTTGGATGGGGTTACATTCTCCCTGAAGACGCAGGTTCGCAGCTTGGGAGTGATCCTGGACTCATTGCTGAGCCTGGAACCCCATGTCATGGCGGTGGCCAGGGGAGAATTTGCACAGTTAAAGCTTGTGCGCCAGCTGCACCCGTACCTTGGGAAGTCCTTTACAGTCACCCATTTTTAGATTCACAGTTTTGATTTATGCAGATTTGATTATTTACAGATTTTATTGAAAACGGCTGTTCTAGGAACCACTAGTTTGTTCTATTGTCAGCTTTCTCCACTTATGCTGGAGGACCTAAAGATTTCCAAGGAGAATGCCTCTCTAGGATTCTCTAGGTCCTCCAATGCAATTCTGTGTCCAGTTTCCAGTCAAAGTTTACCATACTACAGGGGGAGGCAGCATAACTTCCTTTTTTAAAATGCACGCCATTCAGTCGGTTGAAGATGTAGCGGAGTGCTAGTGGTCTCGTTCGAGAGGTGGGAGTATAAAGTTTTGTCCTGACACAGTTCAGTCACCATCATGCGTTGAGGAGTGTGCTTTTGCCGTTGAGGCCTACTTTTCGAGCAGATTTGGCCCCTTGTGATTTTTTCTATGGGTTTTTTTGAAATCCCGTGTTTATGTGAACCGTCCAAGGACCTTACAAGATTTAAAGACCAACATCCAGGAAAAAATTGCCAACATAACACCTGCTATGTTGGCAAGAGTCATGAAAAACACAAGAAATCAGTTTACTCAGTGTATGGAAAATGGGGGACGTCACCTACCTAATTTGATCTTCAAAACTACGTAAAACAAAACTTTAGGTATGCACCTACATTATAATTTTTTAAAAAAAATTCTGATTTATACAATGGGTTTTATTAAGTTTTGAAAAAAGGAAGTTATGCTGCCTCACCCTGTATAATGCTGGAAGACTTAGGCATTCTTATATAAGTGTTCTCTCTGGTGAAAAAAAAAAGCAATTTCCTTATTTGTGTTTTTTTTCTCACTTTCATGGGGGTTCTATGCCCCAGCAAATGTGGAGGGCTGAGTATACATTTAGTATGGTGGAAGCTTTGAGAATGAAAATGGCATTTTATAAATTCTATAGAGGGAAAGTTGTGGGAGTGGATGATTAGAAAGGACTGACTGGAGAAGCAGGGGGAGGCTGCATATCCTGACTACAAAGGGAAGGAAATTCTATTTATTTATTTATTTCTATCCCCGCCCTTATTTACAGTATTTATATTCCACCCTTCTCACCCCACAGGGGACTCAGGGCGGATTACAATGCGCATATACATGGCAAATATTCAATGCCACAGACATACAACATATATAGACAGACACAGAGGCAATTTAACATTCCAGCTTTCCGGCTTCATGAGGGTATGCTTGATTCCGGCCACAGGAGGAACTGCCGCATCACTGTCCACTTGTGACACCAAATCCTTGGCGGAGTACTTCCTCATCCTTACGCACGCTGCTGGAAGGTTTTATGGTGTTGTAAATTAGTTAAATTAGCCTCCCTGCATAAAGCGGTATCTAAATTTCCTACTTGACAGATGCAACTGTCTTTCGGGCTGCATAGGTCAACAGCAAGCTAGACTATTAATGGTCAGATGCTTACTCCAACCCAGGCTGACTTCAAACTCGTGACCTCTTGGTCAGTAGTGATTTAATGCAGCTGGCTACTAACTAGCTGCATCACAGCCCTGTCCTTTGTGGCCTCTGGGAGAATGCCCCTGCCCTTATCTGAATCTTCCCATCCCACCTTCTTTCTCTGAAGGAGGAGACATGGTCCCAAGCTGGAGTCCTCCATGTTTCTTCTCCCAAAGCTATAAGAATACTTAATCATTTATAATAATTCTTTGCTGTGACAGATTAGAGGGAGGATGCCTTCTACCTCACTGTATGGATCAAAGAGGGAGGACAAAGATTCATTTGGACCTGATGCAAAAAAAGGCATTGATGCCCCCAGGAGTGAAGGAGGTGACACTTTCTGGGAAAGAACTGTCCAGAAGATCTTGTGGGGTGACGTCAGCTCCGATGCGCAGTGCCAGCACTTCAAGCGGATCCGCTACCAGGAGTCCAAAGGGCCGCGGGAGGTCTGCAGCAGGCTCTTTTATCATTATCATCAGTGGTTGAAGCCAGAATCTCATACAAAAAGTCAAATCTTGGATCTATTGATCCTGGAACAATTCCTGAGCATCCTGCCACCAGAGCTGGGAAACTGGGTCAGAAAATGTGGAACTGAAACTTGTTCCCAGGCAGTAGCCTTGGCAGAAGGTTTCCTCCTGAGCCAGCCAGAAGAAGCGCAGCAGGTAAGAGCATGATAATAATACTTATTATGATAATAATAACAGCAACACTTTATTAATATTCCTCTCTGTTTCCCCGAGGGGACTCAGAACAGATAGGCAAACATTCAGTGGCTTTAATATAGTGGAATAACAATGACATACAAATACACAGAACAAATGTAAAGGCTTCCTCTTTCATCTCCGGGTTTCTGGAGGCGGTTCTCAACTCTGGCCACAGGGAGGTGCTCTTTTCCATTTCCAAGCCATGAAGCCTGTGTCCGTCGACACCTGCTGGTTGTGTTGCCAGCACAGCTGCATAGGCACATTTATTACCTTCTCGCCAAAGTGGTACCTATTGATCTACTCACATTTGCATGTTTTTGAACTGCTAGGTTGGCAAGAGCTAGGGTTAACAGCGGGAGCTCACCCTGACCCACAGCTTTGATCTGCCAAGCTTTAGGCAGCAGATTCAACAGTTCAACAGTTTAATCTGTTGCACCACTGTGGCATGTTGTTGCTGTTATTATTATTATTATTATTATTATTATTATTATTATTATTACTATTATTATTATTATATTTATTTATACCTCACTCTATCTCCCCAAAGGGGACTCTCTTTCACAGATGTCTTTGTGAGTCTGTAGCTGTTTAACTAGTTTGAGCTCTTCACCCCACGCTTCTGTTGTGCTTCCACCTGTCCTTCCATGTTTTGTCAAATGTGCCAATCCCTCACTCCGTTTACCGTCTTTTCATGATGATGACTCTCTCCTGCTGCTGCTAGATGTTAAGGCATTTCCCCAGTGATCAATATTCTTAGCTCTTTTCTCTTCTGACAGATTTTGAATCCCTTTCCCCTGGAAAGAAGCCATTGTGGTGGGAAGGTGGGAAAGGAGGAAATGGGTTAGTGAAAAACAGTCACTATATCTTGAATGTTGGGAGGAATGTATGATCTGCAAATGAGGGGGGATGACTAATTGTATTTGCATTCCACCTCCTGAATTGCTTTTGAACCATGTGCCTTGCTTTGAGGGGAATCAGGGTCATTTTGGCCTCATACACTAAAAACTTGCTGCATGCTCCCTGTGTGCTTAGTTTTCAGAAGAAATTCCTCAGTTTTGAGGTAATTGTCAAGCCACCAATGTGGTGCCTGTGGGTTCAGTGCTGTTTTGGGGATTCTAGGGAATTTGTTCCTGGTCTCTGCCATTGGGAAGCCTGTCACTAAGTGATTAAAATGTGAGGAAATATATTTTTCTTATTCGAAATACTTATCACATTTCTTTCTATCAGAGCACCCAAGGTGATGTGCAGGTAAAAGCATAATAATTTTAAAAAAACAAATCCAGAGACGCCACCCCAGATTTGAAGAACGGATATCTCTACCACTTGCCCATCTTTATCTTCAGATCCTCTGTAGATGGGCATTCCATACTGCCATCACCCATTTCCTAACCTTCCCTAACATGTTTTTTCCTCTCTCTCATTTTTATTTTTTCCCTTTCACTATTCCTTGCTTTGACTCATTATCTTTCAGGTCAACCATCTCTCTATGGAAGTTGAGTCTGATTTTCCACTGGCAGAGAAGGTTCCATTGGACACCTGGCTGAGTCCTCAGTGGAGAAAGGCGATGCATGATGTGGTCAAAGGTGCTGCCTTGCAGGGTAAGGTTCACTTTGTAAGGGGGCTTTTGTTTCCTAGTTGTACTTATATTCCAATCCTCTTTGTCTTTGACTTTGTATCTAAATCCTTGCAACAGTGATCTGTTTCCGTGGGTTGGAGTGAGGAAGAGTGAGTAGTCCAAGGTGTCCTGGTGAGTTTCGTAGCTCAGTGGGACAGGGAAAGTGGATTCTTAGTTCACCACCCCAAGCACTACATCTTTTTGTCTTATGAGAAATATCTGTGCATTGCTCTGCAGCATAAATCCTACCATCTTAACGGGGTACCATTGTATTTCCTAGGAATCGTTTAGGTGATTGTTTTGGGAATTGTCAATATTTGGATAAAAGATCTGAGACTGCTATCTCTTGCTTCAACTCTCATTCAGGGACAGAAAGGATGTTGGCAACATGTACTCAGCCATCTCTTCTTCATTGTGGTGGAGTGGAAGCAGATCAGGTAAAGGAAAGGACTGTTGAGAAGACACAAAGGGAACTGTCTGGGTGAATCTGTTACTTGCTGATACAGTCGAGTCTCACTTATCCAACATAAACGAGCTGGCAGAACGTTGGATAAGCGAAAATGTTGGATACTAAGGAGGGATTAAGGAAAAACCTATTAAATGTCAAATTACTTCACTATTTTACAAATTAAGCTACAAAGCATCATGTTTTACAACAAATCAACAGAAAAAAACAGTTCAACACACAGTAACATTATGTAGCAATTACTGCATTTATGAATTTAGCACCAAAACATTGCAATGTATTGAAACAGCTGTGGATGCAGGTGCGAGGCAGACTGTGTTGGATAATACAGAACGTTGGTTGAGTGAAGGTTGGATAAGAGAGACTATCTCAAAACAGGGGGAGGGGTGAGTGGGATCATAGTTTCTTTTATTCTTGATGAAAGTAAATGATAGGGAATGTGTAACATCCTTCATATACAGGGTGGAAAGATGCTGACATTTTTAAAAAGGGAAAGTGACACATCCAGATACAAAGGTTATACACCCAGGTTCCACACACTGGATGTGGAAGTCTGAACAATCTGGGGCTGAATCTCTGTGCATTCATCACATTAATTCTGAATTAGAGTTCTTACCATATTTCTGTGTAATTTTCTGTAATGGAAGAATGAGAGCAACTCACAGATGATTTACTTCTATTCTCCTGGGCCTAAAACAATCTTTCCTTCTGTTTTTTTCTGGGGAGATGAAGAGCATAAGAAGGCTCTGCTGGCACAGACTGAAGGCTCCTTCCATCCAGCATCCTGTTTCCACAGTAGCCAGTTGTGTGTGTATATGCAGTTGACAAGCTCTCTCTCAATGTAGTTTCCCACAGCTGGTATTTAAGGGTAGGCTGCCCCATGCCTGGCTCTGGAAAGTCACTACAAGTGCTAAGTGTCATTGTCTTCCTCTTGGAAGGCTGTGGAGTCATTGTGGGACTAGACATTGAAAACTGTAGTAAAGGACCATCCACTATAAGTAGTCTTCTGTTAGATAATCTTAATGCCAGCTGTGATCAGGAAATGCTATTTTTTTTCATCCAGGCTCCAGTGATCTTTGAGGAGGTGGCTGTATCTTTCTCTGAGGAGGAGTGGGCCTTGCTGGATCCTGATCAGAGAGCCCTGCACAGGGAGGTCATGGAAGAGACCTGTAGGGTCATGGCTGCTCTTGGTGAGGTTCCCTTTTTTCCTGGTGCAGAAGAGTTTCTGTCTTTTCTGGATGTAGCTTTAGTTTGTTTTTCTTCATCCAACCCTTTACCTCATTCAGGCACTCATTTAGAGCCAACACGCTATCCTTAGCTAAGGCTGCTTTCAAAGGTATAGAGAAATATATTTGAGTGTCTTGCAGACGCTGAATAGCATTGGGGATAGAATGGCATCCCGTGGCGTGCTATGTAACTGTTCTGTTTCTTGAAGAGCAGCTATCTTCAAGTACTACCATCTGGAATCTACCTGATAAGATAGGAACGAAATCACTTTAGCACAATGCCTCTGATTCCTAAACCCCTCAGATGTTTCAGAAGGATACTATGGTATCAAATGCTGCTTAGAGGTTCAAAAGTACCAGCAGGAACACTTGTTGGTGCTTTGGCAAAGATCATCCACTAAGGTGACCATAGTGGTATCATCTCTATCCCGAGGCCAGTTTGAAATAGATAACTGTTATCATCCAGGGCAACTGCCCTGTCATCTTGTCCGAAACAGGGAAATTTCATACTGGTTAATAGGTGCTAAAGTCCAAGAGGTCCAGAGACGGATTTTTAGTGGTCAAACCACATCTATTTTTAAATATGATGGAAAACTTTCTTCACTGAGAGATGTGTTATTAATATGTTGCAGCTGAAATCTAACTATCTCCTCCCTAGTCAAGAAGGAAATCTGCAGTCTTTACCAGTTGAAACTAATTTCATGTTATCTGACTCACAGAGTTGCTGGACACCTCCTTGTCAATCTCTGCTATAATATGTCTTCTCTTTAAAAACAGATTTTGTCTGTGAAATGATCATTATGGGTACCACAGTGAATTGCTAAGGGCTCTAAAGGGATTCAGGGAGAAGGTGCCTGAGGTAGAGAGTTGCGCAGTACAAGACTTTATAAAACCATAATAAAATCAACAAGAAAGAATCATGCTGCTACAACATGCAAATCTAAACCAGTGGTTCCCAGTCTTTTTTTGACTAGGAAACACTTTGACGAGAGACCACTCCCCAACATTAGTACCAAAAGGATTACGAATCGGTTTTTGGTCAACTTTAGATTTGGTTTGGTTATTTGGGGTGCTGATTCAGAAAATTGCATTGGATAGACCACATCAGCTCTAGTTCTGATACAGAACATATGCCATCCAGTAGTTGCCATCTGCTCACCCAAAGAAACCATATTTAATAATCTAGAGCTGTGGTAGTAGTAGTAACCTTTCATGGGCAGTCAGCTTCTCCCCTCCCAACATCCCCATTGACTTGGCATTATAAGAGGGTTTTGCGAGACCAGTCTCTCTCCTAGCTGCATGGTTTTGAGGCCGTGGGCCATATTTTTATTCTTGTGGACCACTGGGTTTCCACAGACCACAGGTTGGTAACCACTAAAAGTAAGAAAATGTTAGAAGTATCTAAGGCTGTAAATTCTTCCAATATGTGGAATAAAAACTCTTCAGCTGGAGCCTAAAAGGTCTATGTATAGAAAAAATGGGATGTATTATCTTTCTTTCTTCCCACATCTTCACTATTGTTTTCTTTTTAGAATTGTTTTCAATAAATTCCTTTTCCAGTTCCTGAGATCCTCATACTTCTTCTTTCCAATAGATACCCAGAGGAGAACAAATGTGTGTTGCCAGTATGAGAAATGTGTTAGAAACAAAGTGGATCTTGCTGCACACGAGGAAGCACACACACAAGAGGAAATCTGTACCAGAGAGAAGCCCTATAAATGCTCCATTTGTGGAGAGTGTTTTGCCCAACATATGGGACTTATGCTTCATTCCACATCACCCCATGGGCCCCCCCAGAGTGTTCCTACAGGAAAGAGACTACACAAATGTCAGGAATGTGGCAAATGTTTTTCTCAAGCTTCAAACCTTCAGAGTCATCAGAGAGTCCACACTGGAGAGAAGGCATACAAATGCGAAGCATGTGGCAAATGTTTGGCCACTAGGGATTCCCTAGTCAGCCATCAGCGTGTCCACACAGGAGAGAAGCCGTACAAATGCCAAAAGTGTGAGAAACCCTTTCCTTCCAGATCTGACCTTGTGAAGCATGAGAGAATCCACACGGGAGAGAAACCATACAAGTGCCAGGAATGTGGGAAATGTTTTGGTTATAATTCATCCCTTCGGAGTCATTCAAGGCTACACACAGGAGAGAGACCATATAAATGCCAGGAATGTGGAAAATGCTTCACTCAAAGACCATCTCTTGTGGTTCACCAGAGAGTCCACACTGGAGAGAAACCATACGAATGCCAAGACTGTGGGAAATGTTATATTTCCAAGTCACACCTGATTACTCATTGCAGACTACACACAGGAGAGAAACCATACAAATGCCAAGAGTGTGGGGAATGTTTTGTTCACAATTCAACCCTTGTAATCCACCAGAGAATCCATACTGGAGAGAAACCATACAAATGCCTAGAATGTGAGGAATGTTTTATTAGCAAGTCAACCCTTCTTAGTCACCAAAGATTTCACTCAAGAGAAAAACTATATAAATGCAAAGAATGTGGAAAATGCTTTTCTCAGAATTCAGATCTTTTGGTCCACCAGAGAATCCATACAGGTGAGTCACCAGTCAAATGCCAGGCAGGTGAAAAAGATTTGAATTGCCAGATATCACTTTTGAGTCATATGAGCCTTCCCCAAGGAGAGAAGCCATACAATTGCCAGGAGTGTGGGAAAAGTTTTACTCGCAAGTCAAGGCTTGTGATGCACCAGAAAGCCCATAGAGGAGAGACACCATATAAATGCCAGGACTGTGGGAAAGGATTTACTTCTAATCCATCTCTCCTGAGTCATCTGAGATTGCACACAGGAGAGAAACCATTCAAATGCCAGGAGTGTGGGAAGTCTTTTACCCACAGATCAACGCTTGTTACCCACCAGACAGTCCATACAGGGGAGAAACCATACAAATGCCAGGAGTGTGAAAAAAGTTTTAATTTTTATTCATCCCTTTGGAGGCATTTGCTACTCCACTTGAGAGAGTTACCTGAGAGTCCACACAGGAGGTAAACTACATCAATGTCGAAAGCATGCGAGAGGCTTTGTTTTCCTGCTATGGGTGGAGGGCCTCCCAAAGCTTCCTTTTTCTCCTCTGACCAGTCAGGATGATGCAAATTACACAACCTCTAGCCCACATGGAGAGTTACCACACCCAAGTGTTTGGTTTTTTTTGAAAGCAGGAGAGCAGCTGATTGTTTTTGGATTTGCAACTTTTGATCTATTTCAGATGAGCTTCTCTCAGCTGTGGAAGCTGAAGACAATCCCGATGTTTCTATGGTCTCCTCCGACATGTGCTCTGAAGGGCTGGAGGTTCAAGAGATGAGAAGTGGGGCAAGCAGATTCAACTGTCATGGTAGTGAAACCTCTGGGGCTGTTCTTTCAGAGGAGATCCAACCTCTTTCTGCCTACCCAGTGGTGGATGAGGTTCACTTTCACCCAAGGTTTGCTGTGGGCATTGGCATCTGTGGGGTGGGGGAAGATGCTTTAGTTTTGGGCAGTGCTGTGCTGCCTGTGAGGGATTCCTCATCTTCGGAAGAGGAAGGGGAGCAGGGAAGTGCTCAGAAGTTGGAGGCAGAAGAAGAATCAGACAATGAGGTTTTGAAAGTGCCCACATTTCTAAGAGAGATGAAAAGAGACAGAGCACAGATGGCATTCCGCTAGAATAGCTGCTAAAAACGCCGAGCTATTTGGGAGACACCCTAGCACCTCCTATGTGGGGAATTCAGGGCTATAAATCAGTAGCAGGAGCAGTCAGCTTTTGCTGGTAACAACGACCCTGATTCTGCTGTTTTCACTCCAGTGGAATCTGTTTTGTGTCTGCTGCTAAAGACTCAGTTCATTGCCCGTTTGATGGTAGACTGGTGTTTCGTTTGGGACCTTGTAAGAGACTTTCATTTGTGTCTGAACTAAGACTTCCTTCCTTTCTTTTGCACTTTTCAATTGCATTTGCTTATCCTTTGTGTTTGCTGAAGTAAAGCATTTTTCTTTTACTTTCAACATTGTCTAAAGGCTGTTTTTGAAGGGCAACTCAGGACACTGCCGAACGGTGCCAGCTGTGCAGATACTTAAGCACACTAAATATATGCCAAGCCTGCAGTATTTGTAGGCCTTTATCTTAGCTGCTCCCAAGAATTGCCACAATTGTGTTCCTCCTAAGATTCCCATTCCTTTTCTCCAAACACGTCATCCTTACCAGCCCTCATCAGCAACTTCTTAACATCATAGGGAGATGTCTCCACTTTTGAAAATTCTTCAGCCAAGGCCCACAAGGACGTGACTGGAATGGCTTTTCCTCTTGTCTCCTTCTAGAACCATGTGGAACTCCCCCCTCCCCCGAACCTGCAGTGTAATGTCTTTTTATTGCAGAGGATTTTCCTCCACTCACATGGAAAACCATCTGAGGGAGGGATCAGAGAACAGGGGCTCACTTCTGCATAGAACTCACCTATGCTCCAATTATAGATAAGATTATAGATAAGATTAAAATCTAATTTTTGAATGTTCTTTTTCTGACATTTGAACTGATGTAAAAATAGCCTTCTTCTGACATTTGAACACATTTTAAACAGCTATGTGTTCCTCCTACAGGTTTGTGTGGCAGCCTCCAACTACTTTTTTGAGGGGTGGGGAGAAAATAGGACAAAAAGGTGTTGTGCGATCTGTTTTCTTCATCCATTAGCATTTCTCTATTCTGCACAGTGAGTCTATAACAAATCGTAAACTCATACTTGGTTCTGTGAAACACCAGTTAAAGGAACAGAAGAAAAGAATTAACTTATCTATGTTATGCTGCAAATACACATATGAAGCTATGATGACATTCTGCAATGTTTTTAAAAAGTACCATATCGATCTGTTGTTGTGTGCCATCAAATTGTTCCTGAACTTTGGCAACGCTATCACTGGATTTTTTTTTCATAAGAATAGGTTTGCTATTGTCTATATCTGGATCTATATCTATTGTATATATGTTTGCGTTTATTAATAAACCTATCAATCTTTCCTATAAACAATAAGTAGCAAAAGATAAATCTGCCTAGATCTCTCTGTGTGTGTATACATATACATACAAATTTAGACCTTTTGAGCAGTAGTTTTTTGTCCATCCTCCTCCTCGAACTATATTATAACCTGTGTCAGTTCTGGTTTCTAGCAGATAAAGGTGAACTAGTATGTAGCACAAACTTCAGTTTTGAATCATTGAATCATAGAGTTGGAAGAGACCTCATGGGCCATTCAGTCCAACCCCCTGCCAAGAAGCAGGAAAATCGCATTCAAAGCACCCCCGACAGATGGCCACCCAGCCTCTGTTTAAAGGCTTCCAAAGAAGGAGCCTCCACCACACACTGGGGCAGAGAGTTCCACTGCTGAACGGCTCTCACAGTCAGGAGATTCTTCCTAATGTTCAGATGGTATCTCCTTTCCTGTAGGTTGAAGACATTGCTCTGTGTCCAAGTCTCCAGGGCAACAGAAAACAAGCTTGCTCCCTCCTCTCTATGACTTCCCCTTGCAACTTTATACATGGCTATCATGTCTCCTCTCAGCCTCCTCTTCTTCAGGCTAAACATGAAATCCAGCTCTTTAAGCCGCTCCTCATAGGGCTTGTTCTCCAGACCCTTGATCATTTTAGTCTCCCCCCTCTGGACACATTCCAGCTTGTCAGCATCTCTCTTCAATCGTGGTGCCCAGAATTGGACACAATATTCCAGTTTTGAGGAGCTTGATGAAAGAGCAGAAAACATCAGTTTTCTAAATTTTAATCCAAGCATCAAATGTGTTGAATAGTCTTAGGAATGGTTATGGAGAGAAAGAATGTGGGAAAACTAAAGTGCGTGTTACCTGGTGCCAAGAGCCTCCAAGCAGGGCATCCTGTTAAAGCAGAGACATCCTCTTGAGAAGTCATGCAAGCACATGCTTTGAGTTGTGAATGCAAAGACTAAGATTCCCAAGGTCGGGGTTGGAATTGCTTTTGCCCGCTCTTGATCATTGGGTGGGGAATATGATACAGTACATGATACAGCTGCTTTGCACAAAGGAGGATGGATCCGCACCAGACTCCAAGCACCGAGTCAGAGCCACGAGCCTGGCGCGCACCAAACCCTTTGATGTCAATCTATAACGCCACGCCCACTAGCGCCTGGCTAGGCTCCGCCCCCTGACTTGCAACAAATGAGGCTTCGGAAAAGGCGGGGCCTCGGAGGGGCGGGGTTATTCTTGACTCCGCCCATCCGATTGTCTGCTGAAGAACCAACAGCATTCTGGAAAGGATTCAGTTGATGCCTGGGCTTTGAGTAGTATGGAGAGGAAGGTTGACCCGGGGATTACTAGATCCGTGTCAGCACTCGGGTAATTGAAGATGTATTGCCTCCTAGCCTGCCTCAAGGAGAGCCACAGCACCTCTTCCTCAGGGTTCTTGGATAGCAAAAATGGGATAGCCTTTCAATCCTTTTTAGTGGCTCCTTGCTGGTCAACAAGTTTTGGTTCTACACTGCTTTGGACTTCAGCTCCCAGAAGTCCTAACAGTTGGCCAAGCTGGCAGGGGCTTCTGGGAGTTGGAGTGAAGCATCTGGAAGAGCCCAGGTTGAGAACCATTGCAGAACTCAAGCACTTTGACACCACTTTATCTGGCATGGCTCAATGGTCTAGTACAGGCATGGTCAAACTTGGGCCCTCCAGGTGTTTTGGACTTCAACTCCCACCATTCCTGGCCTCAGGCCCCTCAGGCGCTTAAGCGGCTGAGGGGGAAAAGGAAAGGGCCTGAGGCCAGGAATGGTGGGAGTTGAAGTCCAAAACACCTGGAGGGCCCAAGTTTGACCATGCCTGCTCTAGTATCACAACAGTTGTAGTTTGGTGAGGCACCAGCACTCTGGCAGTGAAACCTAAAGGGCTTGTAAAACTGCAACCCATAGGGGTCCATAATATGAAACCATGACAAAATGGTGTCAAACTGCATTAATTCCACCATGTTGATGTGTCCTTCATTGGTTAGGAACCTGAATTCTGGTCTTTCGAAATCCAACACTGCGCTAGCTCACGGTCTGAGGCTATTTTACATTTTTCAGGGTTTGAAAGAAGGAAGACACAGACGGGGCCTTGAAATCTTTGCTGTAATAAGAGCTAATATTACAATAGGCTTTTGGATCTATAGTTAAGCAGTGTCCATGGATATATGTACGTTGGGTCTCCCTGGCTTTGTTTTCTTGGCCCAATGCCAAACATGGCAAAAGTGCCTTGAAAATGCTGGTTGTCTGTCTTTCAGCCAGTTTATGTCCATACATTGCTGTCCCTACTAGAATCATAAAGTTTGAAGAGACCTCATGGGCCATCCAGTCCCAAGCCCCAGCCAAGAAACAGGAAAATTGCATCCAAAGCTCCAGGGCAGAGAGTTCCACTGCTGAAGAGCTCTCACAGTCAGGAAGTTCTTTCCTACAGAGTTGGACCCACTGTCCAGTCCAACCCCCTGTCAATAAGCAGGAAAATTGCATCCAAAGCACCCCTGACAGATGGCATCCAACCTCTGCTTAATAGCCTCCAAAGAAGGAGCCTCCACCACACTCCAGGGCAGAGTGTTCCACTGCTGAAGAGCTCTCACAGTCAGGAAGTTCTTTCCTACATAGTTGGACCCACTGTCCAGTCCAACCCCCTGCCAATAAGCAGGAAAATTGCATTCAAAGCACCCCTGACAGATGGCCATCCAGCCTCTGCTTAAAAGCCTCCAAAGAAGGAGCCTCCACCACACTCCAGGGCAGAGAGTTCCACTGCTGAACAGTTCTCACAGTCAGGAAGTTCTTTCCTACAAAGTTGGACTCACTGTCCAGTCCACCCTCCTGCCAATGAGCAGAAAAATTGCATTCAAAGCACCCCTGACAGATGGCCATCCAGCCTCTGCTTAAAAGCCTCCAAAGAAGGAGCCTCCACCACACTCCAGGGCAGAGTTCCACTGCTGAACAGCTCTCACAGTCAGGAAGTTCTTCCTAATCATGGGCCATCCAGTCCAACCCTTGCCAAGAAGCAGGAAAATTGCATTCAAAGCACCCCCGACAGATGGCCATCCAGCCTCTGTTTAAAAGCCTCCAAAGAATGAGCCTCCACCACACTCCAGGGCAGAGAGTTCCACTGCTGAACAGCTCTCACAGTCAGGAAGTTCTTCCTACTGTTCGACTTCATGGGCCATCCAGTCCAACCCCCTGCCAAGAAGCAGAAAAATTGCATTCAAAGCACCCCTGACAGATGGCCATCCAGCCTCTGCTTAAAAGCCTCTAAAGAAGGAGCCTCCACCACACTCCAGGGCAGAGTGTTCCACTGCTGAACAGCTCTCACAGTCAGGAAGAATACTAGTCCAGCTGTCAGTTTCCATCATATGTTAGACATCAGCCACTCCCTCCTTCTCTCAACACATCAGTAATATTACTATTTTGTTCCCTTTGCAGGCCGGAAGAGGACTCGGACAAGCAGCAGGCCTGGCACCCTACCCACCTGCGCCTGATCGTCATACGGGCCTGCAGCCTGCGCCCCAAGGGCAGCACTGGCAGCAGCAACCCCTACGTTGTGATTCAGCTACAGAAGCAAAAATTCCGAACCTCTGTGTTCTCCCACACCCTAAAACCCGAATGGCATGAGGAGTGTCTGTTGCAGCTGCCTGCCGTCCTGGATGACGCTGAAGAGCACGGCCTCGTCCTCACTGTCATGCACCACTCCTTGCACCATTTCAACCAGTTCCTGGGCAGAGTCGTCTTGCCTCTTGCCCAGCTCTTTCAGGACAAAACAAAGAGGAAAAACCAGTAAGCACAGGCAGGCAGGCCCATAGCAAAGCATTTGGGAGAGCACATCTTGAAAGTGAAGGCCTTGGGGATTCCCTGGCTTTAGTAAAGTAGACCATATCACAAGCAGTACAATATTAAATAGACAGGTGCATCGTTGTACAAGCAAGGGCCACAGCAGAAACACTCTGCTCACATTGTAAGATCTTCTAACAAAAGAAAACCATCTCTAAACAA